AGAACCAAACCCAGTATTTTTGGCCGTTCATGATTTTACCAGGCATTTTTTTTTTAAATAGTTTGCCATTATTTACTGAGCGGTCAGCTGTCAGTGGTGTCAAAACTAAGACAAGGCTGCCAGCTGCTAAATCACCTGTAGCTAGGATTGAACCCGGCACCTCTGCCTTACGAAGCGCCCAAGCCACAGATTACCATAATCATTATAATTAGCATTTATAGTCAGTGTCTTCTGAGAACAAACAATATTCTGCTTGGTGAGCTGAGGGTCTGATTGGCATATTACACGCATGATTTTTTTTAAATTGCAGATCATAAAATCAAAGCCTACACTGAGCACAGTTGATGTAACAGGTCAGCAGAATAAGTCAGATGACAAGTTACCAGAATTAGCAGGAAAAATGGAGGTGAAAGAAAAAAAGAAGAAGAAACAGAAGAAGAAGAATTCAGCAACAAATGAGACTACTGCTGATGAGGAGCAGGTATTTAAACTGTTTAATGTCACTGCATTTATCTGTTGATCAACAGATATTGTGTACTGTAAATGTTTGGTTTAAGTTACGTACCATTGTTGCTTATTACACACTTTCTCTTTGACTTACGACATATGAGACTTACATACACCCACACTTTCGACCGTGAAAAAGAAAAAAGAAAGACAGCAACAGATGCAGTATCATTTTTCACATTCTGTACAGTGATTGTACGTACATTAATTGAATATTTGTGTTTTATGTAGTTTTTGAAAACAACTTTTTGGATTGAAGATAGTGTTGAACAATATACATTTGACTTATCACCTGTTAGTCGGAAGAGAGCTTGGGAGTAAGTCTAGGAGATCCTGTATTTTTGGAGCTGCAGTAGCATACTGACTAGATGCTTGTCTTCTAGCTCAAAGGTTTTAGGTTCCGTTGCGTGCTGATTTGGGAGAGTGTAATATTGTGTAAAGGGACAGAGTGGTATGATAGTTATTTCCAGGAGTTCAAAGGAATGTCTTGGGAACAGTGTCAACATTGGCCCAAGTAGTGAGGGGAAGACAATGTTGGGACCAGTGAGAAGTGTAGTGTCACGGGAAAGTAGATGTGAGGGCTGACAAGCATGGCTAACGAGACGCACAGAGAAAGTATGAATTACATGACAGTGTAATTCTCATGTAAGCCTGAGCCACCCACATGAGTGATTCTCGTGAAGTCTGAGAACGCTCACATGAGCGTGACTCTCGGGTAACTGTAGCCGCCCACATGGGACAGAAAAGGTATATATGAGAGTCAGTCAGTCAAGCAGTGAGCTGCAGCCAGAGAGCTAAAGCACTGGGAAAGTGGGGGTGTAGTACACATCCAGCACAAGAGTGCTGTACGTAGGAAGTGAGTGAGTCAGTCAGAGAGAGAGAGACCAAGTCAGGGTCAGAGTCGGTATCTCTCGAGTGATACAGACAGAGTACTGTGCAACTGTCAGACAGCAAGGTGTGAGTGAGAATCCCGGTCACGGTACTGGTCGAAGGTATAGTCCCGCTGGCGAAGAAAGGCCAAAGGGGACTAGACGCTCCAATAGTGACTGTTCTGGGTGACGCCGCAAGGAGACGTAGGATCGTCATGGAAACAGAACAGTAGGGATGCCGACGAGAGCTGTGTGCTAGAGGGGACTTATCTTAGAAGTCCTGTGGGACATCGGAGTCCTTCGATAGGTGATGTGCTCTGGAGAACATACAAGTGAAGTCCGTTTCCAGTCAGCCGTTGTTGTCTGCTGAAGTAATGTCAAGGTCCAGTTGATAGGAGAGTTCGTTCTGTTCTGCTGTACGACGGGCCCAGAGTTGTGGGACACTGTAGACCTTCGGAGCTGTAATGGTCAGGGAGAGGTCGCTACAAGTTAAGAGAGAGAGAGAGAGAATGAGGACTATGTGTGAATGCCAGTTATGATCATTATATACGTCTCTGAGTGTGTAGTAGTGTCTATGTTAGGGCTTATGAAATACCCTTGTGTGTCGTTCCAATAAACTTGATGTATGGCGGAGTTAACAGCGCCATGTCGTAACTCAGTGTGTCCAGTGAAAATCTGTACTTGGTCGTGTGCTGTTTATTGTGTAACTCAGATAGCACACAATAGGTTCTAACTGCATCAAGGCTTATTTTTTTTACATAATTCCTGGCTTTTTGGTGAAAGCAGCCTAAAATAGGTACCCGGAAATGTTCTGGGAAGTAAACGACTGTCGTTGAGATTTACCCTATCACCCGTTGAGCGCCAGTTTGTCCATTAAAAAATGTGTCTAGCCCCTTTTTGCTTAATGTGTTGCTGGTGTGAATAGGGTCCTTTACTTTTACTGGGTTCTTTTTCATTTGACCTTAAAGGGGTTGTGGTTTCCAGCTAGGATGCAATATCTGCACCTTTCGTTCAACAGATCCAGTTTCAGCAAACTCTTTATTAGCTGCCTTTTATGACCTGCTTGTAAGGGACAGTGGGTCTTTTCATTTTTCCCTCAAAATGAGGTTTCGGAAAACGCACAGATTTTACCACCGTTCTATAATAAACATTAAACATTGTTTAGCACTTATCTCCCCCCCCCCCCCCCCCTCCTCCACCCCACTCTCATTAAAATACTCGTAAAGCACTTAATTGGCTGGCACAACTGCTTGCCAGATTGTTGGTAATCAGTTTTAATGGCCTTTGAGATCAGACAAGCCTCAAGAAAATATGGAACTTATGGTGGCCAGAAGGAGACACCCCATACATGCTCTGACCTTGTGCCGATATTAAATGAAATGTCCCTCACTATCCCACATGAAAAACTGGTCCTGGGATAGACCAGAAATATGACTGGCACTTTTCCGTCTATCCAGACTATAGTGTTATATTGCGCTATGAGGAGGCATGGAACTCACACCCCATGGCGATGGTGAGTGTGACTAGCAAGACTTTGCCATGTTAAGAAAAGTCTGCTACAATTACAGCATGGGATTTCAGGTCCATTGTTGTCAACATTTGTGTTTAGTCAGTTTCTTCTCAGACGCTCATCTCTCATCCTTTCTGCAATCATTAGAAATCCAGAAATGTGCGCACGCAGTAAATACCCATTGTATTTTAGGCAAGGAATTTAGACCTTTACAGGTCAACATTTGACACTTGTTTGGTGATATTAGCTAAATGAGTTATATGTGCTTTATTTATTGTAAATTAATTTGTTTCCTTAGATGCGGCAGTTAAAAAACAAATATCACATTCACGCTAATGGGACAGATATACCAGACCCACTGAGGAGCTTTGAAGAGTTGAGCACGGAGTACGGTGTTGCCGAGACAATATTAAAAAATGTACACAGTCAGGGATACAAGGAACCTACTGGTATACAAAGGCAGGCTATTCCTGTGTTGCTGCAGGTAAGTCGTTATGTTCATTGTTGAGTAGTTAATCTTCTTAACTTTCTCTTTTACTGCTTCAGGTGTCAAGGGAGATAAAATGTTCTGCTTCTTGCTGTTGTGGCTACTTTGACACATCTTGCCAGTGTAGAATTTCTCTGATGTTATCTTTCCATCTTGTTCTTGGTCTGCCTTATGCTCTGTGTGCTTCTTCTCTTTTGGTATATGCCTTCTATGTTAGGGCGTCACAGGGCGTTCTCTCGAAGTGGGCAAACCATTTGATTTGCTGTCTTTGTAAGTAATTTAGATTTGGTTCTGTGCTGACTTTTTCTTTTATGACCTAATTTGTGATTGTATCTCTTCTGGTCATTCCTGCAGCCTTTCTCTGACATCTCATTTCTGTGGTAGTTTGTTTGTGGAATGTTTATCATTCATGCCTTGTCTAACCACTGGTGGGCTCAAAGCATCTACTTAAATTGTCTGTTTCATACCTGTGTCTGGTTCATACCTGCTGCAAGCTGTTATGGAGAGTTTGATCTCTTGTTCCATATATGCTGCTCTGGTTATCGAGGCCCCTTACCATTGTAGGATGTCCCTGATTGTACAGAAAGGTGTCTCTGATAGTACAGTAGGGTGTCTCTGATAGTACAGTAGGGTTTCTCTGATAGTACAGCAGGGTGTCCCTGATAGTACAGCAGGGTGTCTCTGATAGTACAGCAGGGTGTCTCTGATAGTACAGCAGGGTGTCTCTGATAGTACAGCAGGGTGTCTCTGATAGTACAGAAGGGTGTCTCTGATAGTACAGTAGGGTGTCTCTGATAGTACAGCAGGGTGTCTCTGATAGTACAGCAGGGTATCTCTGATAGTACAGCAGGGTGTCTCTGATAGTACAGCAGGGTGTCTCTGATAGTACAGCAGGGTGTCTCTGATAGTACAGCAGGGTGTCTCTGATAGTACAGCAGGGTGTCTCTGATAGTACAGTAGGGTGTCGCTGATAGTACAGTAGGGTGTCTCTGATAGTACAGCAGGGTGTCTCTGATAGTACAGCAGGGTGTCTCTGATAGTACAGCAGGGTGTCTCTGATAGTACAGCAGGGTGTCTCTGATAGTACAGCAGGGTGTCTCTGATAGTACAGCAGGGTGTCTCTGATAGTACAGTAGGGTGTCTCTGATAGTACAGAAGGGTGTCTCTGATAGTACAGTAGGGTGTCTCTGATAGTACAGTAGGGTGTCTCTGATAGTACAGTAGGGTGTCTCTGATAGTACAGCAGGGTGTCTCTGATAGTACAGCAGGGTGTCTCTGATAGTACAGCAGGGTGTCTCTGATAGTACAGCAGGGTGTCTCTGATAGTACAGAAGGGTGTCTCTGATAGTACAGAAGGGTGTCTCTGATAGTACAGTAGGGTGTCTCTGATAGTACAGTAGGGTGTCTCTGATAGTACAGAAGGGTATCTCTGATAGTACTGTAGGGTGTCTCTGATAGTACAGAAGGGTGTCTCTGATAGTACAGTAGGGTGTCTCTGATAGTACAGAAGGGTGTCTCTGATAGTACAGAAGGGTGTCTCTGATAGTACAGAAGGGTGTCTCTGATAGTACAGGTTCTAAACAGAATAAGAATTAAGAAGCAGGTGAAATAGAGAAAAGTGAAATATTTCAGCTATATTCTTCTTATTCTTCTTATCATTCACTTTGGGCTGGTCGCAGTGAATTTCCAACATGCTCATTTTACCTTGTGGATGTACAGTCTCTCAGACTGCGGTGTCACCCATCTTTATGTTATCCTTCTACTTGTATCACTGTGTGCCTCACCCTCAGTTATCTTCAAATTTTTCTTTAAGTCTGTATTTTATGAGTTATATTTTTTTATGTGGCCAAAATATTTGCCTCTTTTATTTATTTTAGCAACTCTGTTTTCATTCCAGGCTTCAGCTTTGTTATACATTTGTTAAAAGATACCTGTATCCTTTTCATTAGATTTCCGTTGTAAGTATGCTTAAATTTTCACATATAATCTTTTAGGGTCGAGACTTGATGGCATGTGCTCCCACTGGATCAGGTAAAACTGCTGCATTTATCATTCCCATTCTGCATCAACTGAAAGAGCCCAGAAAAGATGGGTTCCGCGCACTAGTACTGGCCCCCACTAGAGAGTTGGCAAAGCAGGTGAGTTTCCATGCCTTTTAGCTCTGCAGTGTGGCTCTGCTAGGGATTTGATTAACTCATCACATTGCTATGTTGACGTTCTTAGCTACACACGGTTACTTAGAATACACCAGACGACGAACAGCAAGGTTATAATGTCTACCAACTCAGCCTTGAAGGCAACATAGATGTGCTTCACCATGCTTTCCTCCTATGTCGCACGATCATATTAGTGTTACTCACAGGGCCGTTTCCATAAGCCTCTTCTAATCTCAGGTTTCACTGTTTGGACCGTCTTCAGGCATTTTATATTTTTGATTACTCATGATGTATCTTGTAGTGATGTTCATTAGCCCACAGCATTTCAATCTAATCTGTTAGTTTCAAATTAGCATTATGATTCTTTTTAATGAAAACCATTTGGTTTTCACATGTAAGACAATTTAAAAAAAAGTAAAGCACCCTTTTCCACGCCTTTAGGCATATATGGCAAATAGATCTAGACCTATATTTTTATAGACCAATCAGCACAAGATTGGTGATGTGGTAAGCATCAAGCCGGCCGCCTTTGCTTCCTGTGACTGCACCGGTACCCACTCAAGGTTGGGTCTACCTGGGAGCCAATTTTTTTTTTTTTTTTTTAAAGTCCTGCTCGACCAGGGAGCGAACCCACGGTCTTCCGATCTGCGTAAAAGACTATATTATCCTATAAATTCACACACAAAATCAATGAAATATTGCTTAGCTTGAAACTGCAAAATGCTAAAGAGAATTCTGTGTTTGAATAAAGGAAATTATTATTTTATGCGATGTATCCCTACCTTTTTTTTTTTTATAACTAAGAAGGTTACAGATACTCACCAGAAAGTGTCTTGAAAAGGTGTCGGTGCTCACCAGAAAGTGTCTTAAAAAGGTGTCGGTACTCACCAGAAAGTGTCTTAAAAAGGTGTCAGTACTCACCACAAAGGGAGTTACAGTAACGCTTATAAAATTCTGCCTAAAACAAATCAAGTGCCGGTACTGCATCTTCTTCTTATATTCCATGTTATGTGACGTTAATAGTCATTATATTCTCTGCACAGTCTTTTGTCTTGTGTACTTTCAGTCAGTTCACACACAAACGATCTTCCATGCCATGGTGTGAAACTGTACAGCATCCTCTTTCTCTGACTCTCTTTGCCTCTTTTCCCTCCTAACTTTCTGAACGTTGCGATGTGCTCCAGTTTCCTCCTTCTCGTGGCATGACCATAGAATTGAGATTGCCTCCTTCTATAGGCAATCAGTCCTCTTCATGAGTTAGTTCCCGTCGAGACATCTTCATAACTCTTGTTAGGTGTCTAACAAGAAGTCTTTTACAGTGTGTCACAATGAGATTGTTCAAACAGCTCACGTAAAACAGACTATGAGATTGTTCAAACAGCTCACGTAAAACAGACTATGAGATTGTTCAAACAGCTCATGTAAAACGGACAGTGATCACGTAAAACAGACTGTTTTCTGCTTTTCTTTCAGATTCTTAGAGAGTTCAGAAAGCTATCCAAGGGCCTAGGACTTAAAAGTTGTTACATTGAGAAAGAGTCAACAGTTCTGAAAAAGTCTAAAGAGAACTTTGGTAAGTCTAAAAGTTTCTTTAAATGTTCATTGGTTACCAAATATTTTACTGAAATTTGCAGTATTCAAAATCAGGCTGGCTGCTGTAAATTTTTAACAGTTTATCACCCTGACTGTCCATTCTCAGGCTACTGTTCATTCGTATCTGTGTGTTAATGGTACAATGATTTCAGTCACAGGCGTAAGGGAAGGTTGAGCTGTTGATAGACTACTAAATGACAACTCTAGGTTAAAACCTCTGTCGAGTGGGCAAAAACAACTGCTGAGACTCAGTTCTAGACCAAGAGATTTGCCTGCAATTTAGACAAGCAACATCTCTTGCAGGTGGCTTCTTGTTGGATAATTCTGTCTCCAGACATCCTGTGTCCTCAACACCACGTTGATGCACACAGAGAGCCTATCAGTCCTCTGATTTTGCCCAAATGTTTGTCGCATGTTTACCATGACACAACAGCAAAGTCTTCAGTGTCTGACTGTCAAAAGTCCTACTGGCTGGCAGAAAGGTTCAAAAGTCCCTTGACATTTGCCCCACTCGCCAGAGTGTCGGGACCAAACAGGAAAGGCATGCCTTATGGGTGCTCTCTCCATACTGTCATGCTACATGTCCAGGTGAAATATCGTTTAATGTGTCATAGGTGTGCAAAAAGGATGGAAGTATTTGTGTGATCATCTAAACCCTAGAGCTGCTGGCTGCTGCCTGCTGATCTCCAGAGGGCGTGGCCCACGATGAGTGGAAAGCTCAGCACATGGATATGAGGTTAAGCAATCATGTACAGGATGCAACGATTCCCTTGGTGAGCGTCATGTATCGACTGCATTTATAGAAGCCTCTTTGAATAGAAGGGAATACCCATGACCTGCCCCTGCCTTCCCTTGAGGGTCGACCAATCTACACACAGTTGCCCCTGGATGGATTCTCCAGGGGCAGCTCCTGTGGATAAGGGACAAAGAGAATTCCTCACAAATAACCCGGTCAACAAATAAAGTTTGATGTATCGACCCAAAGGCACAGTGCAGTTATATCATATGAACAAAAAGAAGATGATCTTCGTGTTAACTTGTATCACGGCATATCTCTTGCACACCTTCCTTCACTTTGAGTTATGCACTGTATGCTAGGATTAAGTGTACAAGCCAGATCTGTAAAATGGATGTGCGTGCAAAATGCAAATTTTGAAACAAACCCAAATTCCAGAAGTAGACGATCAACCAGAACTTTCCACCAGGATTTACAGCTGGCGGACACAAAGAAGTACTTTAAAAATTAAGAGAGAATTCTAGGGTCACAATTGTCAGTTTGTTTCTGAAAAGGTTCTATTATATTGATCTGATTATTGTGACAGATGTTAACAACCTCCTGTCTTGTGTTGCAGATATCTTGGTGACAACCCCAAACCGGCTGGTCTTCATGCTGCAGCAAGATCCTCCTCTCCTGTCTGTCAGCAAGTAAGTTATCAATGTTTTTCTCCTTTACAGTGTACATACAGTGTGTTCAGGTAATATCTGTGTTATTGTTTCTGTCATATTGGGCCTGAATATACTTAAAGAATCTGGCTAGATATTTTCAAATACTTCAGAGTTGTGGTAACATGGTGAGAAAGGTGCTAACCGGTAAGGTTTATTTTCTTGGAGTACAAGTAGTGTTAGGAGTTGAAAGGGGGGGGGGGGGGTGGATGTTATATTACAGATGTGAGCTGGAAGGTTCCTTTATTGGTTTAAAAAACAAACATTTTGGTGACATAATGAGGAACTAGTCGAACCGTTAAGAATGCTGGGCGGTCTTGCAGGAAACCAGGTTTGAATCGTCAGGTCTTGAGTGTTTTCTGTCAGGGAAAAAATACAATCCTAACCTGCACAGTAAATGGTGATTGTGCTGGCCTTGCTGACCGAAATCCTCAGCCTCAAAGAGCCCCCTGCCTGCATCAGTAAAAAAGAGAGGAAAGACCGGCAGTTATAAGAGTTCTTTTTACAACAGGTGGATTTTATTGTCACAGAGTAGTCATCATGGACTCCATGAGGGCAGGAACCCATTCATTGTTTGATATGTAACTTGTTAAGAGTGAACTAATGTTTCCTTGAAGTATAGGGAGCTCCCAGAGTGGTGTTGATTTTATTAGATAAGCGTAACATGTTTATGTGTAGCTAGGAAGTATAACTTTAGTTCGATGTATGCATATGCTTTGTATTTATAATTATTATTTCTCATTTCTTGTATTTAATGTTATTTAAAAAGAGTGGCTGACTTAACAGTTAAGTGAGCTGGGTGCTCATTTCAAGACCCTGGTTCAGATCCTCTGTACAGTTTAGGTTTTTTCGATCAGAAGATAAAATAAATACTTAGCCGGCACAATCTGTAATGACTGTACAAGCCATGTGGTCCTCAATCTTTGACTTCAAACAACCCCTTCCCTCCACATCCGAACTTGCACAGCCAAAGTGGTAAATACAGGCAATAATGAGTTCAGTATTTTATGTCTATTATGTTTATTCCGAGAGAAAGTACTAAAATGTTATGTAGGGCCTATACTGCTGTATGGTAGTGAATCATGGAATGTGAATGCACAAATTAGATGTGGTTTTTCAGACGTATGTTAAGAATCCCTTGGACTGCCAAAATAACTAACGAGGATTGCTTGAAGGAAGCTAATGAAAGCTGATCAATATATACAACTATAAGGACAAGACGAGCACTGTTCTTTGGTTATGTAATGGAGAGGGGGGGGCGGGTATAGAGAATATTGACTGGGAAGATCAACGGTAGAAGAGGGAGAGGCAGACCAAGAGAGATGATTGATGGACTGCGACGGTGGCATGGAGGGATATCATCGGTGGAACTGATCCAGAGAACAAGGGAAAGAGATCTGTGGAGATGCAGGAACGCTTACACGAGTCGGCAGAGCATGTGATAATGATGATGATGTTTATTCTATGATTCCTTTCATATTTGTGTAACACTTATAGTCTTTGCTGGTTCTTTCTATTCCTAGTGTTGAGTGGCTGGTGGTTGATGAGTCTGACAAGCTGTTTGAAGCTGGTAAAAGAGGCTTCAGAGACCAGGTAAACCATTTGTCCTATATTTAGAGATCAGGCATACTGTTACTGGTTAATTAAGTCCATTTTCAGAAATAAGACAGCACGTTTGAAATAAATATAGGATGTGGAATTTGGAGGAGTCATAGGAAAAATAAAACTGAAGGGAGAAGAATTAAATGTGCATGTAGATTTGTGGCTTATCTTGTGAAGAAAGGTCTAAATGCATTTTCCCCTGGACATTGGGGTGAATGGAATCTGCTCACAATGAAATAACAGAAAACTTAAGGTCAAAGATGGTCTTTTAAAGCTTTGAAGTTTTTGTGTGCTTCTTGTTGTGGTTTGCTGTTGCAGTTTCCACATATGATCTGAAGTCCACCATTTCTTTGCCTAAGCTGCTGAGTTAAGTGCTTGGTGCAGCAGTACGAGCTGTATATTTTATCTGAACTGGCTTCCATCTGTGTCTGCATCGGATTATGTCATGACAATGAGAAAATTCAAAATGGCTAGTGGCATTAGATCAGACTAAGTGTCTTATGCATTAATATTGCATGTGTGCAGCCAGCTTTTTGTCCATTTACAACATGGCTGTGATATTTGTACCTTTTGGCCAAAACCTTTGACTGCTGCAGGCAATTTGTTGCCCAGAGTAACCTTCCCGCCACATGTACTTTTGCAGTCCTAAGGTACTGATTTTTAAAGTCAGTTTTAGGCAGGTGGTAGACTGCTTTTTCTTGATTTTGACAGTTATGATCATTGTACCATTTAGAAAACTAACTTTTGATGTATCAAGAGTTTCCCAAAGTCTACCTCATAAAAGTTTCACCACTGAAATACTAGGGAAAAACAATTCAGCATCAAGTTTTATTCACAGCTTTTGCAGCTGTGATGGCATCAGGGTTTGACTGACGGCTCTTGACATTGTAAGCTGTTTATTTTATAGTCATTAATGTCTGATCATTCATAGGTAGAGAAGTTGGAGGGCTGCGTGGTCTGCATGGTGTCCGCCTCGAGGCTAGAGGTTCCGGGTTCGATCCCCGGTAAGGGCTGGAATTTTTTTACATGGACTTGGACTTCTAGTAATTCCTCCTGGCCGAAAAGAGTAGCCTACCGGCGCTGCCTGTGCAAAATTTGGAGTTATAAATCGACCCAAAGTATTTCAGGATACTCGCCGGTGCTACAGAGCCTGTGGACTGTGCTGAGCTTCTTCGGACTCAGACTTGAGTTAGAAGAAGAACGAAGCACTTATGGGTTGTTCAAAACCTCAAACCAGGTACACAAAAACAAGTTTTACTGAATGATGTTTATCAGGTGTACTTCATGCCCAGATATGGTCATCACCTGACTACATAAAGGGCTAAACATCTATATATGCTTTTTTACCCTACATTGTTTAGTCTGTCCTTATTCTCTTTGTTTAAACGCTAGAGTTAAACACTTTATTCTTTTCAGCTCGGTGCAATCTATAAAGCGTGCAGTTCATCTAAAGTCCACCGTGCCATGTTCAGTGCAACATTTGCTCAAGATGTGGAAGAGTGGTGCAAGCTGAACCTAGACAATGTCATTCATGTCTATATCGGAGCCAAGTATGTATCCTGTAATTGTGGCTGTGTATCGATCTCTCTCGACTAGATGTCTTAACTCTTTCCAGACATATTCCTTTTAACTTCTCTTTTCCAGAGCAGTTGTTGTTTAACAGTGGTACCAGTTTAGGTCTGAAGGTGGTCAAATAATAAAAACACTTAGGGGACAGTAGGAGCATTAGTAACAATTGGGATAGAATGGGTTAAAGATTACACTTAGTTGAGACACAAGAAGCTCAGGAAAAATATCATGTTAGGCAGCTCCAGTAAGCGCATGGGAAGTTGCTTAGTAGTGAAAGTTTTAAATCTTCTTCTTAGAGTTTACCACCTGTAAACACTGGCAGTATGTTTTGGTTGTTTGTACATCCATTTTACAGACCTGGCTTATTTGTATGCAGACTAGGTTCCTTGCCTGTGCGGCAGATGCGTTGCAATTTTGAAGCAAACACACCTAATTTCTGTCTCAAGACTTAGGATGGGCCCAGCACTGATGGTGTGCTGATGAGGCAAAAAATCTGTGCCCAGTGTTGTTCACTTTCTTTAGCTCCTCCTGTTTCTCATCCTAAACAGCTCTCATTCAGGGAAGTCTACCCTTAGGGTGTACAGTAAATTCTCTAATTGGCTGCCTGTCATGAGTCAACTTTACCACACGCTGTGAGAGAAAGACAAATGATGACTAGACCTACTCATAACAGCAGACAGGTCAATTACTGGTCAGGCGGGTTATGTGTAGACCCGCAGGGCTATAGGGGTAACTGAGTGGGGAGGTTACAAAGGGACTTGACAAACGAGTAGAGCGACACACATCAATTAGTAGTTTGACAGTCTAGTGAACGGGTGTGTCTGTTTTTTGCCCTTAAAATGTGAGAATTGTTTTTCGCTTGTCATGGACTGGATTTAAAACTGTGGAGAGGACAGTGGTAGTTATTCATACTTGTGACAGGTGTTTCTTATGTGTATCCAGGATTATAAAGTTAGTTGTGGTAGCCAGTATGATACGTAATTATTTCTCCAGAGGCATCCACTAGCCTTTCATGACTTTGTTCATTTTGCTAGGATGATTTGTGATCAGCTATACCAGCGTACTGTTGATGTACTTAGCCAGTGACTACCTGGGATTGTGTGCTTGTGAGCTATATGAATAAATGGGTGGCTACTCAGTAGTCGATAACAGTGTGTGGAAGCCAGACTAACATTGCAATTATCATGAGAACTTAAACATTCTTTGAGAACTGGAACATGGTAATCAGTGTTTACATGTTAACGAAAGTGCGGGTACACTGACACAAATAACAGCGGTACCTGTGTCACACCTATAAAAATGTGTCTGACACTGCCAGTCATGATGAATCCTTAAAGCTTTGTTAGTCTATGCTCGGCCACATGCTCGCGGATCATAAGGTTGGCATCACTTAGAATGTCCATAGACAAAGTCACATCCAGCTTCCCCATCTCCAGTATATCAGTTTCTGAGAGACCTGTTCAAGCCTCCGTCTGCCGAACAACAAAACTGCAACAGTTGTAAATAGAGACAGCGATGACAGATTATATGATTGTTTATCAGGAATCTTGAGCTGAAAGAGTGTCCTCAGTGCTGTTTTTGTTGAATGTTGTTTTACATGTATCACATATTGACCCTAATTGATCATTTTTTAATGTCTTTGTTAGGAACACAGCAATCAACACTGTAGAACAGAAACTTATTTTCACTGGAGATGAGGATGGAAAATTAATAGCCTTCAGAAATCTTGTGCGAGAGGTGGGTGAATATAATTTATTGATTAGTCTTTGTATTTATCCTTTACTGTTGTGCTCCCTCATGTTGTCTGTAATTGTTTTGAAAGCTTTGATTTTAATAGATTTAGCTTCCAGAACCCACACGGGGAGAATGTATTTTGATTCGTCTGCTTAAAAAATATGTTTTTATTCCAGTACCTTAAAGAATATATATTTTCAGTCTTGTACTCTTAAAGAATATATGTTTTCATTCAAAAACTTTAAAGAATATATTTTTATTCTTCTCCCACAGGGTATTGCTCCGCCAGTCCTAGTTTTTGTCCAGTCAAAAGAGCGAGCCAAGCACTTGTACACAGAACTCATGTATGATGCAATCAACATTGACGTCATTCACTCAGATCGACCCCAGGAGCAGAGAGACGAGGTCATCAAGAAATTCCGCACTGGACAGATATGGGTGCTTATCTGCACCGAGTTGATGGGGCGAGGCATAGACTTCAAGGGGGTGAATCTGGTCATCAACTATGATTTTCCTCTTACTGCCATCAGCTACATTCACAGAATAGGTAATTTACTTGATCTGTCAGTGCTACCAGTTATGTTAACATGAAAATTTATTGTTTTATTTTTCCTTATTTGTCATTAGTTACTTTCAAATGATAGATAAATTACACGTTCTGTAGGAGTTGCCTCGGTGTAGCAGCTAGAAACAGGCCTGGGGACCCGAGGGTAGTTGGTTCAGGTCCTGGCCGAGCCGGACTTTTTTCAAAAATGACCTTGGCTCCCAGGTCAACCCTAGTAAATGTCACGCAAGTAACTGTATTTTTTGTATTGGTGAATGTTCAAATTATTTTTGTTTTTAAAACCAGATGTAATGTCTGTTAATTCCTGGTTTAAACTGTGAACTTATATTTATATTTTCACAAAAGGACAGAACGACCTGAGCAGATTTGGGTACCAGGTAAATGTCATGGGAAGTAAAGGCTGCTGGCATGATGTTGACCACATCACCCACTGAGTGCTGATTGGTCTGTAAAATAAATGTCTAGCCCTATATGCCCAATACCTCTGAAGGTGTGAAAAGTTATTGTCCTTTATTTCTTTTTTTTTTTTTAATTTACCTACTTTGTGATAGCATCAGTTACTTCCAAGGGGAATTTCATTGTTCTTCTATAAACATACTATCATCATGTGGCAGGTCCTTTGCAGAACATCGCTGTCATCATTGTCTGCCTGAAAGAAACTTGTCTCTCCCACCTCGTGTACCTTCATATTTAAGGAGTCATTTAATATCATGTGCCCATCTTCGTGCTGGTTGGCCCCCTGCCTATCCTTCCCGTTGCCATGACTTCTGCTTGTTATTTTCTCCAATCCGCCATGGCGTTGATGTGACCAAAATATTTCAGACAAGATGCTGAAACAACAAAACATAACGAAAACATACTCAACATAAAAAAAACTTTGGCAAAGTACAGTGGAACCTCGCTTAACGAGCATAATTCGTTCCAGAATCATACTCATTAAGCGAAATACTCGTTATGCGAAAACAATTTTTCTCTTATAAATTAATGTGAAATACGATAATGTGTTCCATGTCAAAAAAAAAATACTAACAAAATGCTATGTATAACGCTAATTCAAAGAAAATTATATACATATTGTTAGAGAGAGTGAATCATCTTCATCTTCTCTTCAAACGCGGAACGAACACACCTGAAATGCAAATTTGATTTGCAGAAAAAAAGTCGAAATAATTATGATACTTAGCTAATTTTTTTTTTACTATAAAGATGTCCAGAGACATTTGTTTTTGCCGACGCTTCAAAATTTGGCTAAAATGCGACACAGCATTATCATTAAATAAATTTGCAACGCGCATAGCCACTTCTTTATTAGGGTATTGCTTCTCGAAGTAAGATGCAACAGTTTGCCATGCTTTCAGCATTTCTCTTATTTCACCAGAAGATTGTTGCTTTTCTTTTACCTCCTCCTCTGACAAACTTTCCTCCAAAACTTCTTGCTGTGAAACACAATGCAACTTCATAAGCTCTTGGGTGGTCAGCTCTTGGCTGTGCTCTTCCACAAGCTCTTCTATATCACTGTTATCCACCTACAATCCCATGATAGTGGCCAAAGACAATCTTGTTGACTACAGGTTCCACAGGTACTCACTCGAACCCCTCAGAGTCACAAATCGACGCTCTCTGGCCAAACGCTCTCTAGGTAACCCCTTCCCCCGCCCTGTCGATCATCTTGAGGCAGACAACGATATGAAAGTAATTTTTCCAAAATTCTTTGAGAGTGAGGTTGGTCCCTTTAGTCATCTGAAAACAATGCTTTAGTGTAGAGCTTCCTAAAGTTGGAAATAACTTGCTTGTCTTTTGGGCTGGAGTAACAGAGTGGTGTTGGGAGGCAGAAACTGGATCTTGATGAACTTAAAATTCTTCAGAGAGGTCATCTTGTAGGCCTGGAAAATTCGTGTACATATATCACAATATAACACACGTTTGAGAAAATGTGTGATCACAAGCGACACTACGATTCTACTGGAACGAGTGCTAAACACAGACTGATGTAACATGCACACAATCCAGGACTTTCCCTTACCTTGCCACTCGTTATGCGAAACGTCGCTCGTTAAGGGAGTCATTTTTTTTATCAATTTGTTTTGCTCGTTATGCGAATTACTCGTTATGAGAGGTGCTCGTTAAACGAGGTTCTACTGTAGTTCAAAGTAAGAATTTTTTTCTTCTTCACCTTCAAAGGCTGTAAACTCCAGCAGAAAGTTCTGGTTGTTCGTCCACCTCTGGACTTTAGTCTTGTTCAAGAACCTGAGTGCTGCATACATTTTATACTCAGAGGAAATACAAGATGGACATATCATTTGAACTTCTATTGGGAACATCAGAAATAGAAATCTTTTCTGGCTGCTGACAATGAGGACGGAGGGTTTATGGGAATTTCCTAAGTGCTGTAATGTCAGTTTAGCACTCGAGGCGGACATTATGCCTTGAGACCACGCAGCCCCCATATTGTCATGTTATTATGCTCTTCATAGCTGCTTTGTCATTTTATCTCTTTTAGGGCCTGATTTTTTTTTTTTTTTGGGGTATTATTATTTATTTCTTACACTTGTTATTTACTTTGGAGAAGGAAACTTTATAAAAAATATTGACCGGTCAGTTTTTCTGCTGAGACAATTATTGGTTGCTGCAGTCTATATTTGTACCTAGCAGCAAATATTGCATGAACTTTGGAACAACCATATATGGAAGCCGGAACATATACATTTGAGTTACTTTACTAACAAACAAACAAAAAACAAGTTTTGCAGAGTGAATATTTTTTGTTGTCTGCTTTTATTATATCTTGTCTTTCAGGAGCCTTTAGAGGTTTTTGTTAGTCTAAGGTATTGTGAAAGCGCTTTGTAACTCCAAGGTGCCAGGTTCAATTCCGGCTGCGGGTGATTTGGCAGCAGACTGCCTTTCATTCGTTCCAACACTGATGTTGAGAGTTGTCTTTTCAAAAATTAGTGGCAAACTACTGAACGTTAAATTGTCTAGTGAAATCATAAAGAGTAAATATTGAGGTTAGTTCTGCAGCATCCTGTAAAAGACACGAAAGTAACTGTATTTTTGTATTGAAAAATTGTTGCATTATTTTTGTTTTTAAACTTTATGTTAATGTTAGTTAATTCCTGGTTTAAACTGTGAACTTAAATTTGTGAATAGTAACAAACATCAAGATATTTGAGCATTGTTTCAATAATATAACGTAGACACCGTTTTGGGAAAACAAATTTACTTGCAGAAAGGAAAGAAGCAAGTTAGCCAATCATGTTCCAGAGAGAAAACAGATTTTGACAATGGATCCACGAGATTACGAGAGGATGAAAAGGAAAAGGTAGGATTTTGCATGACTTTAATTAGTAGTCTGTCAGAGGTTTTTAGCCTTTTAAATCTCATTCTTCATTGATTTATTTCTGATCTTTGCTTATTTCAGTTCTAACCTATGATTGGTCAACATTTCTCAAACTCCTATTTCACTGTCTGATTACAAATTATATCTTTTTTCTGTGATTACTCGTAAGAGGGTGCTTGTTGTGGTTTACAGCTAGATTACCTATTTTGCAATACTGAAGGTAAAATCTGGAAGAAATCAATGACTACCTCAAGTAACTACCTCATGTAACTACCTCAAGTAACTACCTCAAGTAACTACCTCAAGTAACTGACAGTGCCAGACTTAATGCAGATGAGTTCAGATTCTTTTGTTTACATTCCCCAAGCTGTAAACTCAAGGGAGAGTTCTGGTTGTTCATCCATTTCTGGGTTTAAGTCTTGTTTCCAGAACTTGAGTTTTGTGTTTGCCTGTACAGATCGGGCTTATTTGTATGCAGACTATGGGTTCCTCGCCTCTCAGGCAGATATACCCCGGCTTTGAAGACAATAGCAATTAACAGTAGACTTTTGTGACATGATTTGGGGGGGGGGGGGTCTATTTTCTTCCCAGCTGGGCCCAGGATCCCACACAGGTATATACAGATTAAAATATAATCTGCAACTTGTTTTAAAAGAAAAATTGAGAATTGACCTAGGAACTAAAAAAAAAGTATATGCATTTTATTGAAAAGTAAATACATAAATTCTGCCATGGGATTTTGTTTTATTCTTCAATTATTAAGATTGAGACATTTTTTCTTCAGGAAATTCACAAGACAGAACAAGCAGAAGACAGTCAAAAAGACAAAAATGGAACAGTGATATCTACAGTCATGTTTATTTTGAAAATTAAACATACATTCTGTGATAGTCAAAACATACTGTTCATTTATGCCATTTTGTTAACACAAAATCAGATGAACTCATTAACATTATTCATATCTGTATTAAACATGTTCACACCAAAGAGGAGTCCGTGTTTTTTTAATACCCTTGTATGTTTTAGTTTTCCTTGCATTTGCATTATTTGTTCTCAAGGACTTTTGTTTGTAGAAAAGAAATAAAAAGGGTGCATATCCTCACCACAATGTGTTAGACAAAAGGTGCTGGTACTTACTACAGTGTCTGTTACAATAAGTAGAGAAACCTCTCCAAGCCTTCAAATGTATTGGACATTTAAAGCTAAACCGAATTTGTTATAGACCAGTTGGTGGGTGATGTAGTCAGCAAGGCTGGGTCCACTTGCGAGTCAAGGTCAGTTTAAACAAAAATGTTGGTACTATCAGGACCCCAACCAATGATCATCAGATCTGTATGCGAGTGCCTAGCCACTACACCACAGTGACTCCCTGTCTGTTACAGTAAAAAAATGGAAAAATGATTCCTGAAAAGATGATGGTACTGCTTACTTTTGTGTACTTCAACAAAGAAAGCCCTGCTTGTTCTACAAACGTGTCAGTGTCTGTTAGCAAGTAACATGAAGTCTGAATCAGGTGGGATGTGATATTTAGACTTCACAGCTACCGACCTCTTGATATTCTTTTTTTTTTAAACAGAAGGATTGACGAAAAGGTAAAAGACGCCGACTCCTTTTACTTCTCATGACGTTTCCTTGTACCCTTTTT